CACAAAACAAAAACAAAACAGCACTCAGGGCTGAAAAGACACAACGCGGCAAGACAAAGCAAACAGCAAACAAGAAGGTCACGAGCAAAGCGTTGCCCAACATACAACAACAGTCTGACAAAAGACTGAGCACGAGAGGATCTAAAATAGGGAAGGGCTAATGAGGAATGAATGGCAACAGGTGTGACAGAAAACACAAAAGAGAATTAAGGATAACGAGTGGGAGGGGAAACACCACACAGACAGCGGAGCACATGGTGAGCTGTCTAAACAAAACCCATGTGCTCAGAGACCAAGCACACAGACACAGAAAGACAAAACACAGCAGATCAGACCGAAGTCATGACACTTACAAATATTTGGATGCTCCTTAAGTATGTCCAGCAATCCATAGAGCTGGAGGCCTTTGTGCAAGTCTCCAAGCATTGGTGTAACTCGAAATGTTGCATGGAGACAATTGCTCTTGTGGAGAAAAACAAAAGTGACAAATTTAATAATAATAACAAATCTAGTAAATTACTACTACTTACAAATTACTGCAAATCTAGTAAATCTAGTAATACAGCATAAGTTTGTTTTAAATTGTAAGTTAATTAATTAAGGTTAACAAGTTAAATTTAATTTGACTGAATGTAAAATTGAACAGTCTTCCAAATTCTGTCATTCATGACACAGACTGCTTAAAAGGGAAAGTATGTTCCATATTCACCGAATTATGGGATCTTTTTGTTCTATGTTGAGTGCTCCTGTGTATTCACAGCTGATCATTTCATCTGTGAATTCAGTCAGATCAGTTGCCTCTTCAGCCTAAAGAAAAACAGTCAGTGACAACAAAATGCCAAATTGACTCTGTTATTACTCTGTGGAAATATGCAAACCAACAATGCAATATACTGCTTGTAACTATTAGGCAGTATTCAGAGTGAAGTTACCTTTGAGATCAACAGGGAGTATTCAATATTATCTACATCGTCCTTGCAAATTCTGAGGACATCAACTTCCTCAGTGGTGAGGTAAAAGTAGCACCACTCTCGCATGAAACATGGGGCTGGGCCACCTTGAGCTAAGCTGACTGCAAAGATCTCTCCAGCAGTCCTATTATTCCAAAGTGATGTTTTAAAAAGCACTCAGTCATTGCCATTAAACATATAATTAAAAAATGTTGCTACAACATCACAAACCTGAAGAGACCATTGTCAAGGTCACTGTTGGAGTACTGTGGACTCTTTGCTCTCTGACCCAAGAAGAGGCGTATTTCAATGCCACTGATCATTTCTTTGAATAACAACGGAAGAGCGGTGTTTTGACCCGCGACTATGCCGCCTCATAGTCACCCAGTTGCCCTGCTGCGCAGGCTCTGTTACCGGAACCGAACAATGCCACTGATCATTTCTTTGAATAACATACTGAGAAAAAACAGTGTGTGAATTACACAGATAAATTTTATTTATTTTTGCTACAGCTTTTCCACTTTTATTATACTTAATAACTTGCCTGTAAGAAACTCCTTTCGTAAAGCAGTAGAGTCGACTCCAGCTTCACCAATGAAGGTTACCTTTAGCTGGTTGACTGGATTTCCTTTTTCTGTCTTTGCCACTACTTGAGCCCCCTCTCTAGGAGATTGTCCCGTGAAACACAAATGCGAAACTGGTTTTCTGCATTTACTCGGCCAACAAGCAGCTCCAGAAGATCTTCTAGAATGTGGCAGGAGATATTGAGATGGTGAGCACCATATACATTGTAACACTTAATGAAACTGTTTAGACTGTTTTAAATGAAAAGTTTACCATACTTGTGGAGAGCTTGAATTGCCTGTTGTATCGTCAGTAATACAAGAATCATCATTGTGCATAAAAGAGTTGTGATCTGGAGACTCCACTGTAATGTGGAGAGAATAGAGTTTTCATTTTAAAGTGGCACATGTGGCATTAAAGCACTTGGGGCTGAATTGATGAACATATTGAACATATTTGTTTCCAAGAACTATGTTTTCTAAAGTTTGTGTTACTCACATAGATTTTGTTCTCCACACAGGCTGGCATGTAGTTCAACACTGTCCACAGGAAACTTCAGCTGACATATTGGGCATGGTAAAACAGACTACAAACAAGAAAATGTTAAATGATATAATAGCACCATGGATTAGAGAAAATTTTAATTAGGGCTAGAGAATTTTAATGCCACATTACCTCAGATGGAAACATTTTTTTTTCAGCTCATCCAAATTGATGAGCTGAAAATTAAAACAGTTTCATACAAAGTACTTCATCATAAGTATATGATTAGCAATCTTCTGACATAAACATACACTGAAATCATTTGGTATCCATTTGAAGGTCTGAACACAGTAATAGATCTATTATAAAATCAACATGGAATGTTACATTAATAAAAATTAAACATTTAGTCAAAACACTTGCACCAAAACCCATCATAAAATCAGCAAATAATTAGACAGCATTAATCCATTACCTGTTAATTTGAAGATGTTGAATCATGTGACTTGCAAACCTGAATGTGGAGAGCAATGCTTTTGTTGCACATTTGGCAAGTAGCCTTTGGCATTTTTTTTTTAATTCTCTGGCATCATTTGGGAGAGGATTAAGGTCCAGTTCCTCTTGTAGAGGAACTACATACAACATTGTCTTTCCAGATGCAGAGGCAGATTTGATTTGGGATCCAGTGTAACCTTCTGAGTCTGGAGGAATAATGTTTAGCCGTCTTATACCGCACCCCCCTATAAACAAAGATAAAATTAACATGACAAATGTTTTTATAACCCAAAACATACTGACTCAAGTGGTAATAAAGAAAATATAAAGTCACCAGTAGCCTTGTAAAGCATCCATCCTCCTCTCAAACTCTCCATTTTTGGGAATGCTTCATACAGTACGCTGGAAAACTATTTGGAAAATGCAAAGAAACTCACAAATTTTGAATATTTGTTTCTTTATTTGGGTTATAAAAATTATTTTTAGCCTGCATTAATTAGGACAAACTGGGGTAACACTTTATTTCGATAGTCCACGTTAGACATTCTATTAACAGTAAGTAACTTTGCAACTACATGTCAACTAGCAATTAGTAGAGTATTAGTAGACTGTCTGCTTAATATCTTCTAACACTTTCTTTGCCAAATTCTACTAACCCTAAACCTACCCTAACAGTCTACTCTGAGAGTTAGTAGACATGTAGATGCAGATTAATGAGAATTAGTTGACATGTAGTTACAAAGTTACTTATAGTTAGTAGAATGTCTAAAGTGGACTATCGAAATATAGTGTAACCCAAACTGGAACCAGGAACACTTCCCATAACACTTCCCATGCACAGATACTATTTAAACTGAACTGAGCTGGATGACGACATCACTGAATTCAATGATGAACTGCCTTTAACTGAAAATTTTGTGTTTACTATTGTCATTTTGCATTATTGACACACTATTTTCCTATTTAATACTGTAAAGTTGCTTTGGCAATCTGTATTGTTAAAAGCGCTATATAAATAAAGATGATTTGACTTGACTTGACTTGACTTAAGCACATCCGGGTACTTTGTCTGCTAAACACAAAGTTAACATTAAGAGTTAATGCGAGTATAATGAGAAAAAATGAGAAAAAATGAGAAAACCTTTATATTGTGCATTCAGAAAGTATTCAGAACACTTTACTTTTTATAATGTTGTCATTGTATGGTATTTTTTTTTATTCCACAAAGTACACTTGAACCATGACGACAACACACATTTTGGCACATTTATTAAAATAAAATAAAAACACATTGATTTAAGTACGAAAGCCCTTTACTATGTCATTTTAACTTGTAGGCTATATCTTTCATGAATGAAGTGTTCTGAATGAAGGTCTACAAGTGGTAAATTCTTGAATAGACTTGTCAAGGAAAGACTGACAGCTGTCTATATGAAACACTGAAAGGTCTGAATACTTGTGTTAAGGTGATATTATTTATTTATATTGTTTTACATTTGCTAAAAAAAAGTCAAAACTATTATAAATTCATCACAGGGTACTGAGCATATATTTGTGAGGTTAAAAATGTATGTGAACAATTTCAACTCAAGACTGCAACATAAATGTGGGCAAAATGGGTCTGACTAATTTATGAATGCACTGTATTTACATTTCAAGTGTTTAGTTGGCATACTTATTCTGGTTCTCTTCTATGCTCTATTTGTAATATAAACGGTTACCAGCCAGATTTCTCAAAGCTATTAGAACTGCTTTATTGATGATGTGGTGACGATAGATCACTTGATACTGATTTCGTTGCACTATCATGGAAAAATATCCTGTGTAAGGTAGCCGTCCCAATGAGTTAGGATCAATACATAAAACTATAATAATCTTCATGGAACAGCTGGTCAAGCTATGTTCTCGAGGCTACACTGTTACAGCTAGCAAAATCATGTATTATTTTTTTTTTTTTTAGATAAACCTTAAATACTGCCTAAAATATAAAAGACTGCTTACTAAACCCAACTAACAGGACACGTGTTAACGGGCTAGATATCGGCCTATTCGGACAACATAGAGCTTGCAGAAAATATCACAACACACAAAGGGAATGTATCTGTCACCCACTAACAAAATATTTATGCCCAATTACCTGAGATTGTCCGCCCTTTGCCGGCTGACTCTGGTTATCCATCTTCACACGCCTGCCACAGCAGCCACGAGTCGCATTGGAGTGACGTCAACTCCCCTTTCGACTGATTGGCTAGAGGAGCAGCTGTCAATCTAGAACTAGTGGACCAATGATGACACTTAAGCACCCTGACACCCTGATTTACATGAAACTCAAACATTTGGAAACGCGAGTGCAGAACGTGGAAACGAGTGCGAAGGGGAGAAGACCATAAGCACACAAAAAATTTTAATATGAGCGGAAAACCTGATTTTGTTTGTGATTTGGAAAACTTTTAATTCATGCTTCAGTATTGTGCAATATAATTTTAAATGTGCTTACATTTTTGATTCATGCTTATTATTTTTTGATCCGTGACCGCGTTGTTTGTTATTCTAAAAAACTTTGCCTTTATTATTCGGTTTTGTGCGTTATAATTTTACACGTGTTATTATATTTTTGATTTACGCTTATTATTTTTCAATCCGTAACCACAATACATTTGGCAGGAATCTGATCCCATACTGTGTTCTCATGTTGTTACGTATCCGGTCCATGAACTTCCGTCTGCTAGCCATCA